AACAGAAGACAAATAATTGTGTAAAGATCTTTGTTTTGAGAGTACTTGTCGCTTGTCGTTACCACGAGATCATTGTATATCAGTGGCTAAAAATGAGAAGGTTGCTAACGCACAGGGCTTCTACCAAAAGCTTTTGATCCAATTTTGGATTTCAGTGCTTGGTTCCTGCCACTGGTTTTGTGCCTTGAACTTGTCAATACTATTCATGAATTGGAAGTTTTTTCCAATTTTCGTTGATCATAATCAAGTCTCCTGAGCCTGGTTTTATTCTCATCTGAGTTTAAACCATTTACTTTTGGCCTTGGGATCTAACTTTAACAGAACTAATGTCGATACATTTGGGTTTCTAACCTATTTGGCTTTTGCCCATGTTTTATACCTCAGGGTTTACTCTCGGGTTTCTAACCCACTTGGCTTTTGCCAATGGCTTTTATACCCTGAGTTTAGTCGGCACCTTTAGGTTTCTAACATATTTGGCTTCTGCCGGTTTTTTACCCCAAGTTAAATCAACACCCTCGGGTTTTTAACCTATTTTGGCTTTTGCCATATGATTTTCTACCCGTGGGTTTCGTTGATCGGTTAGGCTTGTCTGTTTTCTGTTTTAACCATGCTGGGCTTGTACGCATGCCTTTTTCAGCACTTCGAGATTCTTTTCCCTGGTTTCACTGATTGGCTTTTAGCTTTTCGGCCTGCTTCTAGGTCCGTCCCAATGTTGAGTTTCTTGATTGGTCCTAGATATGTAGATATTCAGGTCGTAGATATGTAGATATTCATATGATGCCCCCTGCTTGAGAAATTTATTTCAGAATGAACATAAAAACTCAAGTATCACGTCGAATGTCGAATACTTTATTAGTAGGAAGATCGTCCTGTCGAAGATTTAGTTACAATAAGCTTAGTTGGTCCAAATAATGGAGAAACATAAAAAATGTCTAGAAATATGTCGAACTAGTGGTAGTATCTTTTGAGGTGTTTGGCGTGCCACGGGTGTAGTAAGGTCTTCCCCCGTTGGTCTTCTAAAGCATAAGTGCCTATTCGCACCACTTTAGTGACTTTGTATGGGCCCTTCCATGTTGGCCCAAACGCACCGCTAGTTGAATCTTTAGTATTGGGCATAATCTTTCTTAACACCAGATCACCTTCTTTAAAGTCACGTTTCTTAACCTTCGAGTTGTAGTATCGAGCTATTCGATTTTTGTATTCAGCTGTCGTAGCCGTGCTGTTTCTCGATGTTCTTCTAATAAGTCGAGGTAGAGCTTTACGGATTCGTTGTTGTCAAGTAGACTGAACTGCTCTACCATTGGGGAGGGGAGTCCAATTTCGACTGGCACTACCACTTCAGAGCCAAATGATAATGAAAATGGCGTTTCTCCTGTCGAAGTACAAGGTGTTGTTCTGTAGGCCCATAATGCGTTGGGAAGTTCCTCTGCCCACAACCCTTTGAGCTTTTCTATCTACGGGGTGTCAGAGGCGGTCAGGTGCTGGGTATTCTCAACTACATTAAACGAGTCAGCCAGAATATGGTTCCGACAATTAAAACGAGGGTCAATCTCGAGTTTCAAGAGCCTGGCCAGAGCATTCGTGACCCTGTTTGTAGGGGGACGGTGTCGGAGCTGACCCGTGGCTTATCTTTTAACTATTAAACAGAGGACGAAAGAGAGTCTACACAACTACGTAGCTCGGTTCAACGAGGAAAAGCTGCAGGTAGAAGGCCTTACAGACACTGTATCTCTGCTAGCCTTCATGTCCGGCGTCAGGGATGAGCATTTGTCATTTTCGTTCAGAAAGAAAACACCGAGTACCTTCTCGGAGGAGCTGAGCCGAGCTCAGAGGTACATGAGCGCTGGTGAGTTCTTTTACTCAAAAAGGGAGCCAGACGAAAAGCGAACCGACCAAAAGAGGGAGAGGTCGGGAGATAAACCACCGAGGTCGAGATGGGAGAAGAGGGATCGGAGTAGCCAGAAAGATCCACCCCAAAAATTTGAAAAGTATACCCCGACCACCGTTCCACTCGAGCAAGTGCTGATGGAGATCAAAGACCAAAGGTTGCTTAAGTGGCCGGAGAGGATGAAGGCCCCATCAACTAAACGAAGTAAAGGCTGATATTGCCTTTTCCACCAGGATCACGGCCATGCAACTCAGGATTGTTTTGATCTCAAGGAAGAGGTGAAAGGGCTAATCCGAATGGGCTACCTCAAAGAGTATGTAGAGGACTCTAAAGCGACACAAAACGGCGAAAGCGACAAGTCCCCTGCTCGAGAGATTCGAACTATAATAGGAGGCCTAATAGAGAGAGAATCTGGGAGAAAAATAAAGGCAGATGTGCRAGAAGCTAGGGCGAACCGCAAACAAAATGAGGTCTACCACGCGTGTATTACAGACCGGCTGGTGACGATCGAGTTTTCAGAGGACGAGGCGACTCACTTCCTCCACCCTCATAATGATGCACTGGTTATCGCTTTGAAGATAGCAAATGTGAAAGTACATCGAATTTTGGTGGATGGGGGCAGCTCGGCAGATATCATCTCCTAGACGGCCTATAAAGCTATGGATCTAGGAGAAAAAGTGCTCAAGAGCAACTCAACACTGTTGGTAGGATTTGGAGGGGAACAGGTCATTCCCGAAGGGAGGATAGAGTTGTCTGTAATGTTCGGAAGCGGGCCGAAAAGTGTTACCAAGATGGTGGACTTTTTGGTCGTTAACTACACATCCTCCTACAATGCAATATTGGGAAGACCGACAATGCATATGCTCAAAGCGATACCATCCACATACCACCAGTCCATGAAGTTCCCAACACCGGGTGGAGTATGAGAGATAAAGGAGAACAACAAGTGTCGCTGGAATGCTACTATATCTCAATGAGGGGTAACGACAGGACTTCTACTAAGGGGGGTTGTTGATCTTTCCTTTTTTCCTTCAAGTGTGGTTGTTTTTGTTTCTCTACATTTAGTAAGATTTCTGATTATTATTTCTTTTATTCAATAAAGTATTCATTTGTTTGGTTCTCTATCAACTATGTCTTCTAAATTCAAAACGAGATGCCAAGCGACTTTGATAAAACACCTTGCCTCGTCTACAAGCGTACTCTCAAAAGATATTGACAATACATTACCTTGAGAATAGGGGGCCATAGGTACCGACTACTCGGCGACGTGAGCTTGGTAAATCCAACTCTACACGACGATGGTAAAACCAGCTCTAGCCGAGCAGGTCGAGCAGGGCTCAGGGCCGAGTGCGAACGGGCACAAATCTACATTAATCGGCAATTTTGAACTATGAGATAAATATTTGGTAGCCTATTTTTGTCAATAGGCGTTATTTTCGACTGAGCAAGGCTCGGGTCCGACCACCACTCGACGCCGACCACGTGCGATGGGGCATGAATCTACTTTAATAGACACATTTGGAAAGAACAATTAAACAATCTCAACATGGCCAAACCAGAAGCGAGGCGATTGACCTAGCACGGTTAAAACATGAGATGGAGTAAAAAACCAACAACGGGTATAAAACCATTGGTTATGGCCAACGGGTTAGAAACCTACGGAAATGAAAGCAACAAAACCCCATCATAGATGGAGCCGTAAGCCAATAAGTGATTGGTAAGAGGGTTAATTGATAATTCCAAAAAGAAATACAAGCAACATAGTGACAAAACACATAAAAGTCAACGAGACACTAAACACAGTAAAGCGACTCGCTCAAGCTACCTTATTACTCGTCGTCGTCATCATCCATGTCGTCAAGAGTGTCATGCTCGGCTCTAAAACGCTCCGGGAGGAAGGAAAAGTCAATGTCAGGGTGTTGAGTAGAAACCTGGCGAAGAGACCAGGAAACACTGCACTCCATGGCAGAGTTTTGCAGGTCGACGTACTCCTGAGTTTTCTTGAATTCTCTGGCCAAGAATTCAGAATTAGAGAGTCGAGCGTCTGCCTCGTCAAGTCTCCTCTGCAGGTTAGCCAGCTCGTCTCGAGATTTTCTCTTCTCCGTTTCTAACTCACGTTGGGTACCCTCCAGAAGGCTGTTGGCCTGGTTCAAGGAAGAAATGGCCTGTTCCAACTCCTCCCGAGGAGTCTAATGACAGCGGAAGTGGTTAATTTCATCAGCAACCCAACCCGAGAATACCACCAGACGATTGAAAATCTGCCAAGGACAGAAATCGACATTAGGAGAGGATGCTATGGCAAATACTTGAAGCTACAAAGCACTCACCTGGTGGAGATCACTAAGGCACGTGCTGATACTGTGCTGAGGATTTGACAGGCCAAAATCCGACCCGCTTGATGAGTCGCCGAGGCCTTGCCAAAGACCAAATGCTCTTTCCAGGTAAGCTGTCCCATCAGCATCAACATAATATGGGCCAGAGAAAGGGAAGATTGAGGCTTGATAGGAGCTCCCTGGATGACCTCGAGGGGAGGACGGGACAGACGTCCCGTGAAGTCGGGCGGAACGCCTCGGAGCTGTCGGAGGCATGGAAGATCGAGCATGTTGTGAAGGGAGCCCCTCCTTGGTCAAATCAGTCACTTCGATATCCGAAGCTCAACTAGAGCCAGCCTCCAAACTTCGGGCATTTCAACGACGCTTTCTTTCATACAAGTAAGCACTCCGTCTAGACATTTCTACAAATAAAGATAAAGGTAAAAAGCGACGTTCATGCAAAGTGAAGAGAAGATTTCGACAAAGACCTGAAGGGTTACGTGGGAGAGCCAAGCCAAAATCTACTAAGTTTTGCTCCGTAACCAAATCTGGGCCCCAACGCTCGATATCCGGTAACTGGATAACGGTATGATAGAAAGTGGACGCCTCGACGGTAAGCTCACAATTGCGAGAAACTGCCAACAAGAAAAGAAATATCATAATCGATATCTACGAAAGTCCCGATGGAGCTCGGAAGCTACTTACCCAACTCCCTACACTCGGTCGGGACGGGAGCAAAGAACCATTCATTCTTCCAATGCTTCACTGATGAGGGACCCATAACAAGAACTTGGTTCCGGGAGCTAACATAAAAATGAAAGTTATCCTCGGGGCTATGTTTGAGGTAATAAAGCGACATAAAGTCCGTGGCGGTTAGAGGCTGCTCGCCCCCGAGGTACAACCACAAAATAAAGCAACTGATCAAAGTAGACCACCCATTCAGGACGATTTGGGAAGGAGCTACTTGATTAAAAGCTAAAAAGTTTTGAAGGAAAAGAGGCAACGGTAGGCGGACTCCAAATTGGAACATCGCAGCATAAAATACAACTTCACCGGGAAAGGAGCCATCAATACTCTCCTGGATTCAGAAGACAAAGGCTAACCAAATCCGGGATACGGTATTTCGAACGCAAGCGACGCAGGTCCTTCGCTGTAAGAGTGGAGTTATCCATCCAAAACGGACGATAGGACTGAGATTCTGATGAAGGATGCGACGATGACCCATCATCCGAGGAGCTCCATTCGAAATTAAGGCTAGCCATAAAAAAACACGCAGAGCAAAGAGATGAATATCTTGTAAGGAGATTGACAATAAATGGGGAGGATGAAGGGGTTTAAATAGCCCTTAGCTCATAGCATGGTTCTCGGTCTAGAGGTCTTTACCCAACGGACCGAGGCGTGCACGACATGGTACCCAACACTCTTGTGACTACTCGACTCGGTACCCAACACTCTTGTGACTTCTCGGCTCGGTACCCAACACTTCGTGATCTCAAAGTCACGGGTCTACTGTAGATGTGACAATTGCATGGCAATTGCCTCGGGTCTTACAAGGAAAGGGAAAATCGACATGCACTTTCTTGTGTCTCGTGAAGATAAGACAACTCACTGCGGCTAGGGTACCACGGGCCCCACAATGATTCGACAACTCAATCGGCTCGAGCCACGGTCCTTGACCATTAGATCGAAACATTCTCGGTGCGAACCCCGAAAAACTTGCATTCTTCTGGATCACGGGCCTACATGACAAGATAAGTCACTACAAAAGCTATACTCCCAATGAGATCGAAAGCATCGCATTGGGAGTAGGGGCAACTGTTATGCAACGGGAATCGATAGTCGA